AGAGAGAGAGAGAGAGAGAGAGAGAGAGAGAGAGAGAGAGAGATTGTGAACAATAAAATGTGTCAATAAAGAACTGTATTTTTGTACCAAGCCCATTTTTTAAAAAATATAGTTGGAAAATATATAAAGAATAGGCTATGTCATTGTAGGATTTATATGACGTAGTCTGTTTTCATGTGAACCCTTCATAATTGATTATGTCTGTGGTCAAAGAGGTTATATTATATAATACTAGAGCTCGCGGCAGTGACGTCACACGTGTCAGACACGGAGGTCTTCTTACCCTCATCGCATGGCCAGCGTGCCTCCATTTACATGAACAATCTGAGCCCCCACCTCGCTCCCCACGAGCTCTAGTATTTAAAAAATATTAAACACCACCCTGCCTCCATATTTCTGTGCAAGCGTGTACATTTCCTCCTGAGACCGCCGAGATGCCTCCACGTGAGTCTCGAAAAGTACTCACCCTTCTGTTGAACTGCGCATGTCTGGCCCTTGAGGTTCAACGTCCCAGAGTGGGCACACGCAGTCCCCGTTCGTTTACGTGGGGGGACATCACTGCAGCGAACTGTAGTACTAAAATGACCTCTGTCACCAAAGATTATCTAATATACCATCGTATACACGATCTTTATAGGCACACGCAGCAAAGATTCTTTGCACGCAGTCCCCGTTCGTTTACGTGGGGGACATGACTTCCACAAACTCTAGTACTAAATATATTAACATCTTTGTGATTGTGCCCAATGATTGTGCCTATGTTACAGGTTTGTGGGTGGTTGGCAGGTGCTCCGGTGTGGTTTGCTCCTTCTTTTCCGTTAAATATCTATCGTCTTGATCACTCCTCCTTCTTTTTTTGTGTTTGCTACTCTCTTGTAACACCTCTAATCTTCGGTACTTATCGCGACCTGAATTCTTTCTTGTCGTATCTCCATTGTTTTTTAAAGTGAAAATGTGACATCATCTTCGAATCAGCTCCTTTTTGTTCTCAACTGTTTTCACTGTTAATAAAAATGGAGATACGACAAGAAAGCACTGAATTGTGATATTATGACCGACCTTATTTATTGTGTTGCAAGTGCCGTAAAACTCTTACTAAAACTAAAACTAACTATGTTACAGGTGTCTACTTGCAACGCTTGTGGCTGTGGTTCTGCTCGCCGCGGTGAGCGGTCACGTGCGACAGGAGAAAATCCCGCCAAACCGATGTCTGCCTGGCCAGGGATGTTTCCCCAGTCGTGCTCACCTGGCTGAGTTTGCCGCCACCCTGACGGTTAGTGGGTGGGGGGGAG